TCTCTCTCTCTCTCTCTCTCTTCTCTTTCTCTCTACGTGTGTGTGTGTGTGTTTTGATACCCCCTTTATTGTTTATGGATGCATTCATGTATGTTTGTGGGTGCAGCTGCGCGTGCAAAGCCTCTTCATAAAGACATTTCCACCGACACAAACACGTGCACGAGAGATTGATACTGCAGAAGATTATATATTCGTAAACTCATAATAATAATAATCAACAATCCGACAGACAATCCAATAAAAGACACGGCGACGAAACATTAAATTCTTTATTAACGTAATAATAATATCACATTCTAATACAACTATTTACTAAAGTGTATCATCGCAATATAAACACATATCTACACATCGCGTTCTACCCTGAATTGGACAGCTTCTACTCAACGCCGCACGACTACGTTTATATACAAGTGGATATAAATAGCAGACGCTCTTCGATTACAGGATACGAGAAGTCCATTTTTTATAGATTGATAGCACGCAGAAGCAGACCCTAATTAAATATATCTGTGATTAAGAGACGTGATTAATTTGTCGACGCTCGTGCCCGTCTGGTTTAGTCGGCAAGGGAGGGCGAACATATTGCTGTCGGCAGGCCGAGGCTGTTTGCTACTAAGACGTGGAGACGGGGTATGGCTACGGCTAGAGCTATGGGGTTAGGGTATGGAATGGACGTATAGGGTTAAGGTTAAATTTAAGATTAGGGTTAGGATTAAGTTTAAATTTAAGATTAGGGTAAGAATTAAGTTTAAGTTTAAAGGTTAGGGTTATGTTTAAGGTTAAGTCTAAGGTGCGAGCCAAGGTTTAGTTTGGGACATAATCACATCACATTTCACATATTACATTTCTCCTAATCCTAATCGCTATCCTAATCCTAATCGCTATCCTAATCTCAACTATGACTTTAATCTCAACATACCTCCCACTGATCCCACCAGTGACAAATATACCCGCTGCTCTCGCCCCACTGCACTCGATGTTTACTGTGATCGTGATCGTGATCGCGTGATCGAGACCGCGTGGTCGTGACCGTGATCGTGACCGCTGGCTTCGTTATTGTGATCGTGACTGTGGTCGTGATCGTGAGTGTGATTGTGATCGTGACCGCGTAATCGTGATCGTGATCGCGTGATAGTGTCTGTGATCGTTAACGTGACCGTGACCGTGCCCATGACCGTGATCGTTACCGCGTGCTCACACACAGCTAACCGTGATCACTCCATGTTAATAACGTGATCGTGACCGTAATCGCTTCATCGTGATCGTGACCGTGATCGTGACCTTGATCGTGACCGTGATCGCGTGATCGTGACCGTGATCGTGACCTTGATCGTGACCGTGATCGTGACTGTGATCGTGGCCGTGAACGTGACCGTGACCGTGACCGTGATTGTGACCATGACCTTGATCGTGATCGCGTGACCGTGACCTTGATCGTGACCGTGATCGCGTGATCGTGACCGTGATTGTGACCGCGTGATCACTTTGTGTTGATCGTGATCGTGAACGTCTGCCCGCCGGCGGTGACGTTCTGTTTGGCCGTCGGCGACCCGCAACAAGTGAACAGCGCCTTGCAGCAGAGCACGGCCAGCGACGTCGACACCGACATCAGCGCCACCACGCATACGTCGTAGACGATTGCACGCACGCGCCACGTCGTCACGTGAATGATGACGAGCCAGATGAGCGTCGTCAGAACCAAGATGGCGCCGGCGAGCAGGCCGACGCAGGCCGCCAGCAGCACGGCGATGAGCCAGCGGTGCGGCCGACGCGTGCAGACGACGCCCAGCGCGCCGACGACGATCGCCGCGCCCCCTAGCGCCATGCCCTCGACGGCGAGCACGTGCACGGCGTCCTGCGTGTAGCGGACGACGTTGGCGACGAGGCAGGCGATTCCGACGACGACGTGCGCCAGCGCGAGCATCGTCGCGCGTCGCTCGAGGTGGTTGACGACGGTGGCGCCAGACAGGCATGAGGGCGCCACTGTGAAGTGACTGAGCGAGCTGAGCGACCCCTTTTTGCTCTGCGCGCGCTTCGGTAGCGCGACGGGAGACGCGCACGCCGACGACGGCACGCTGGACGACGACGTCTTCGTGAGAGTGTCAAACGACAGGCTCGGCGACGGCGGACAGCGGACGGAGGCGGAGCGCGGCAGCGGCGGCAGCGGCGGCGCCGACGGCGATGGCGACACGCTGTATACGCGCGGCGACGTCGGCGGCCGATTGATCACCAGACTGCTCTTGTGCGACATCGTTGTCGTCGCTGCTGCTGTTTCAATCAATTCGCGTCACTCCCTCTGTGCTTTGTCGTTGGTGGTGTTCCAATCAGTTCACGTCACTCCCCCTGTGCTTTGATTGTACGGCTTTTACTGTGCAATGATGAGAACTTTCACCCGTCGACGGACGTGTGTCGCAGGCGGATTTTATGGGGGGTTTATTTTTTCTCACACCGGCTACGTTCAAGGTTGTATGAACTACTAGCCTCTACGTTTACGGTGATGATATCGGGACAGTAGCTGCGTGACGACGTGCCCTTGCTTGCGTGCGTCAATACTTGCGTGAGTCTTGCGTGCGTGGGTTGTGTCGCTGGTGTCACGCCTCACCGTTCGAATTCTGCGGATGCGACTGGAACGAAAATGATGCGGCTATACGGTTGACACTTCACACGCGCGAGAGCGCAGTAGTTGATATGAATTGCTATCGTGATCGTACGCGCAGTCACGTCTTCGCGTATCCAGCTCTGTTTCTTTTTACTATATCGTAACATAATCCGACTGCATATATACATACACGTGCACGCACGCACACACGCACGCAAATACACAAATGTTCACGCGCGCGCAAAATACATACACAAACACATGCAAACAAAGAAACAATCAAACAAATAAACAAATAAACACGCGCATATATATAATAACATATGTAAAAATATACGGTTTTGATTTTTAAAACACACAGCGCATGTGAGCATCTTGTAAAGGGTGCATGATTACCGCGGCTCAGTTTCACAAATCTCTCTTATAAACGCTAAGACTGTTGCGCTTAAACAAACACTTACCGATAGTTGCTACCTCCTGCTGGCAGCTGGGTACGGGATGGCTTCACCCTTGATAGCAAACCGCAAGAACCGATAACAGGGCAGCAGTGATAGCTGCGCGGCTGTGTATAGCGTATGTCGACGGACTATCTCAGTCTGGAGACGCTAGCGGTGCTAGCGCGCAGCTTAAACACTGTTCGCATCTGAATATTCGTTTGTGTGTGTGTGTGCGTGCGTGCTGATGCAACAACGCAGAGCTTGAAGAACAAGCGGCGCTTTGGGAGATCGAGTCAAAGGGGAGCGTGAATCACACACGGCGGAACCCCACGTCGAAGTGTGTGTGAGCCAGCGAGCATTCGTATACCCGTTGGTCGCCGCGCCGTCGGTCGGTCGGCCCCTCGAGCGCGCGCGCGCGTCCAAAATTCAATACCCCTATCGGCTCCTCCCGTTGCATTTATTCTTAGCTAAACGTGCGAATTCACTGAGCGATTCATTTTAATTTGCGCGACGTGGACCGCCACCGCACCTCGATGCGTGCGTGAGTGTGCGTGTGGGCGAGTCGGGGAGGCGGCAGTCTAGGCGCGTGCCCTCCTGTCAGGTGGAGCGGCACAGGGAGGTGAAGGAGGGATCGGGTGATTCACACTCCCTCAGCCATGAGTTAGTTCCACACACGCGCAGCTGTAAGCGTGCGCGTGTGAGGGAGTGTGTTTTTTTTCGCCGTGGTTATTGCCTCCTGCACGCAGCAGCAGCAGCAGCAGCAGCATCCCCGCACGTGGCAGCACTCGCTGACACGCGCTAAAGGAATTCCTCTTGCAAAGCTCGTTCAACGACAGTGCTGCTTCTTTCGGCGGCGTACGAGCGAGCGGTATTTACACGTACACGGCACGTACACGTACACGGCAGCGCATGCATATAATATATCTACGCGTGTTTGTTATATACGTGGCATGTTTATACGCTATTTAGCAAGAAGCCGGTCGGCAGTGATAAATCGGCACCGCAGTCGGCTGTGAGGCGATGAAATGTCGGTGTGGCGAATGGTCATATAGACCCGCAATATCAACATTGATCGATTGCTATCGGTATCAGTGGTGTTATCAGTCATTATTGATTGGTTATCAGTTATTGGTTATAGATTGGTTATCAGTCATTGGTTATAGATTGGTTATCAGTCATTGGTTATAGATTGGTTATCAGTCATTATAGTGGTGTTATCAGTGGTTTTGTCAGTCATCATAGATTGCTAAAGATATCAGTATTCACGGTTTATTCAAGTGATCGGCAACTATAGATTACTAACATTCTCAGTAAAGTTAGGTCGTAGTTTAAATCGTCTTAGTTTATACCGCAGGTTAAAAAATACCTAATGTTACCTTAAAGATACCTAAAGTTATCAGTAATCATAGATTACTAAGGTTATCAGCAATCCTATATTACTAAAATTGTCAGTAATCATAGATTACTAAAGTTATCAGCAATCCTATATTATTAACTTTATCCGCAATCATAGATTACTAAAGTTATCAGCAATCATAGATTACTAAAGTTATCCGCAATCATAGATTACTAAAGTTATCAGCAATCATAGATTACTAAAGTTATCAGCAATTATAGATTACTAAAGTTATCAGCAATTATAGATTACTAAAGTTATCAGCAATCATATAACTTTATCCGCAATCATAAATTACTAAAGTTATCAGCAATCATAGATAACGAATTTTATCTGTCATTATGGATTACTAAGACAAGTCGGCAATCAACGCTTGTTATATCCTTGCCCATTAGGACCACAACTCGTATCGAATTCGCACCACTGCCAAAGGAATTCGCCATTCGCCATCTGCCGTCAGAATGTTTTTCCTGCTTATTCTCGAGTCAAATAAAGACCTTGAGATGCAGCGTGCGGTTTGCCGCTTCATTTTCCCCTCATTTTTATTACACTTTTAATGAACGATATCGAAGAAGCTACGTGGAACACACATACATGTACTTGTAACCCTCATGCCTTGTAAGTGGTTAGTGCGCGGGCGGCCGGCTGGTTAGCCCCCGTGGGTGTATTATCGCCACGACGTGTTTGGTTTACGGGGAAGCGAAGGTTGGTTTTTCTTGGCAGGTCCTTGAGAGCGGCAGCGTCTGAGAGAGCGGAGTGAATGCCGCGCAGTGTGTTTACACAAAGCCGATTTCATACGAATTCCTCGCCTACCGGAGCGTGCGCACGCTCTCCCACACCGATTTCTACGCGCACACGTAAATACATTCAGCGCTGCGACGCACGCACACACGCGCACGCACGCACACACGCACCCACGAGTAACTTCATCCCATCACGAGACAGCCGCACCACGCTGTACTTAACGATGATATTATTTTTTACCGCGTTGTATTTAATATCATCTTTAATCACACTTGTTTTTTCGTCGCGCGATTCCCCCCCCACGTCCGTCAACACTCCCGCGACGATGGCTGCGGCTGCGGCTGCTGCTGCTGCTGCTGCTGCCGAGAACGTACATACGTCTGCGCAACAGCAGCCGCAGCGCGACAACTGACTGCAGCAATCACTACGAGCTCACGTGTGGTGCTGGAGGGAGAAAAAATATACATACACGCGTGGTTAACCGACGACCAGACGAAGATCGTTTCGTGCGCTATTGAATGAACGCGTGTGAGGCAATATATACGGGCGCTAGCGTCAACACGGGTGCGTGCCTAACCGTATACGTGTGCGCTCGCATCGCGTCTGCGTGTCTTCGTGCGTGTCTTCACTGCCGAGCCTGCCTGCTCATTATACGGTGAATCAACGGCGATCTAGCATGCATTGTCCGTCGGTTCGTGTATCACGTGTCGCTCTGTACTCTGTAGCATCGATGTGTGATGGTTGCAAGAGAGAAAGACAGCTATTTCACGTACGACAGAAAGACGAAGAAATATCACGTTCGCTGTACTATCGATGTAGGAGGAGGGGATTGTTAGACAACACAAGCGCGGGAGAGATACCACTATTCTATCCGCTCCTGTTTTTATATCCCTATATCGCCTCCCTTCCACCATCCATACTCCCTTGTATCGCCCCACTTACCGCCTTTACACCTCCGTATCACCTAGCTGCCCATCACCGCCATTTCAACTCCATATCTCCTGTCCATCATTGCCCTTGTACCCTCATCACCGGCCTTACATTTCTACATCGTGCCACGCCCGCACCCCAGACACACATCGTCCCACGCTCACCTCCAATAAACCAAACATCCTGCCATGCTCACGACCGATAAACCCCCCCCCCCACATCTTCCCACGCCCCCACACACATGGTCCCACGCCCACCACCACCGCACATCCTGCCACGCCCACTATCAGTAAA